AGTTGCAAGTGTACACTGCTGCTAATTAAAGTCCAATATTTTGACCTGGATGTATAAAAGCACTCAAACTGTATTCATTTGTTACATCATTTGCATTGCAAGATGCAGCATCACACAACACAATGAAGTAGATTGAAATGTTTCTATGCTTAGAAGAAAATGAAAATATATGTTAAAATCTAATGGAATTAGGGGAACACTATCTAATTTACATTTGTATAAATTGTTACTGTAAATAGAGCTACCTGCCTCTGATGCTGTATTATCAATAAATGTCATCAAAATATTGGTAATCTCAGTATTGCTTTGAAACATACACATATAAAAGTAATTTGCTCTATCAGTAATAACATATATAGCACCACCTATTGTAAGAGCAGTATTGTTAATGAAAGTAGCATTTAATCCCTTATAGAAAGGTGAAAATAACTTGAACCTTGTACTTTAAAACCAGTTCCCATGTATCCATTGTTACCAATAATGTTTAGTTGACCATTCAGATATATCTCTGTATTTGTGATATCAAAAATAGACCCAAAATTATATGAAAAATTATTGAATCCCCTGATTTGAAGTTTATTTGCATTGTTTATCTTAATCAGTTCTGCCCTTGTGTTGCCAAAATTGTTATGATTTATAAAATTATTGTAAGCAGTTATGTTCTTAAGATAAATGTTTAAAACTTTACCTTGTGTCTCAGTATCAACAACATAAATCCAATTGGTTGGTTTAGAGTCATTATTTAATGAGTACCGGTATATACTTACAAAAACAAAGCAATTAAAATAATTATTAGTATCAATATAATGAGAGTCACTTTTAGCAGTAAGAACCTACTAGTTTGAACAATTAGTGTGGCATCATTTGTTTTAGCTAGTTTGCTTATATTGAGAAACCTGTTTTCTTAAACTTTAAAAGAACAGAAATCATCAACTGTTTCCCTGTAAAGGACCTATAAATGGATGCATTTTCACCTAAAATTTGGTTATTTGAAGTGGGCGACAGTTTTCTTTTCAAATTTAGTAATGTTGATTTTACCTTATAAATTATAAAAATGAAAAATTCTCTCCTTTTCATAATTTGGTCTTGGGCCCAACTTTTGAGCAACTTTCAAAGTTTTTAGTTTGCTCACAACATAGGAAATATGTATGCATTAAATATTTATAAAGATGGAGAATTTTCTCTCGAGCATTCTATGCAAAATTTGGCCGAAGACCAAAGGTTAAAGAACATAAAATTAAAAAAAAAGATTAAGTAGGATTCTAGAGTATTATAGTATCTATGATTCCAGTGTCAGTGTAACGTCAAGCCTATCGTAACATGGCAAGTCCAATAATACTTAATCCTTTTTAATACTACATGAATATCTATAGCTAGTGGTCTAGATTGTATTCCATATAAGGGCATTTGGATTTACTGATATGTAAACTTTGGTCAAGAAGGAAGTAGATAGTAATGGCTCTGTCAAGGGCTAGAGTGTATGCTGTTCCTGTAATGTCTTTTCCTGCTATCATGGTGCTTGTTTGGGTGTATTTGTTGATGTTTCAGTATTATTTGAGTTTGCCTGAGGCTGTTACTGTAATTCCTCAAGATATTTTTTATATTGCATACTTATTGTATCCTCTCATTGGACTATTAACTGATGTATATATAGGAAGATATAAAGCAATTATGATTGGCATCAACCTTTGTTTCATATCATGGATTATAACAGGAATTTTATTAATACTAAACAGTAGCTACGGTGGGTTTACAGGAAAGATTTGGATTGTTCCTGGTTTAATATACCTCATTGGTTTCATTGCTTTTGTTGCTAACATTATTCAATATAACATTGATCAGTTAATTGGAGCATCAGCTAATGAATTGAGCACTATAATATATTGGAATTTTGCTGCTAATCCAACTGCATGGGTGCTAAGTGACTGGTTATTATTACTTGATACTGTAACTGCAAATTTACTCTTTATTATAACATCAGGAGTAGCACTATCTCTGATACTTGTGTCTCATTCGTTATTTAAACATAAACTAGAGAATATATCACTGATCAAGAATCCCATCAAACTGATAGGTACAGTATTGTGTTATGCCAGGAAGCACAAGTATCCTGAGAATCGTAGTGCTCTTACCTACTGGGAGGTAGAGGCTCCTTCAAGACTAGACCTGGGTAAGGATAAATATGGTGGACCATTCACAGAGGAAGAGGTAGAAGATGTGAAGACATTCTTTCGTATGTTACCATTATTTATTGCTATAGTTGGCTTTACTTCTGCACTATTTTTATGGCAACCTCAAGGCAAACTAACGAGTAAATATTCAGTACATGGTATCATATTTGAATATCATGGTGCATATCACATTACTGTTCTATTTCTTTTCTTCATTTATCAGTTCATTGTCCGTAGTTGTTTACACAAGTATATACCCAGTATGCTTACTAGAATGGGTGCTGGTCTTGTTTTTGCTTTATTAGGTTGCATTGCTCAGTTATTGGTTCATATATTTGCTTCATATGATTTTCTAATAATAATTCGACAAATATTATTTGGGATTACATGTTTTCTTATATATCCCACTTCACTTGAGTTTACAGCAGCACAGTCTCCAGAATATATGAGAGGAATGATGGTTGGACTCTACTATTTTTCAATGGGAATCGGAAGCACAATTGCCTTCATGTTGCTATTCTTGACTGAAAAATGGTATTATATGATAACATTAAGTTGTGTCTTCCAGCTACTTATACTGATGGTGTTCGTGATACTGGCTAAACGTTACAAGTATCGTGTGAGAGAGAATGAAGTTAACATTGTTCAGATAGTTGATGATCATTATCATAGATACATGAAACAAGAAGATGAATATAAGAAGCACAAAGTGACTCTTGAAAATGAAACAAATTATGTTATTAAAGATTGATCAAGAAGCATGAAAATTACAGATTTGAAAAGAATTTGATTTTATAGCCGTACAATTAACAGTTTGTGCTCTTGGTGCTCCTTATCTTTTTGTTAACTGTACTTTTAACTCTTTTAGCAATACAAATATGATGTGTGTACATTATCAGTATCATTTGATTATTTTATTGATGCATTTTTTGTTTATTATACTATAAGGCAATTCAAACTAAATTACTTGTTTTACAGATTTTTTTTCTCTAAAATAGAGCAGGCCGGTCGGAATAAATTAAAATATAAACAATGAAATTAATTAACTACTCATTAATTAACTTTAATAATTGTTAGTTAACCACAACTTTTTAAACAAACTATCAAAATACTCTAGCAACTTCTGTGAGTGTAGGCTTATTTAATATGAATGGCTGCTCTAACAAGTCCCAAACAGTAGATGCCACAGAGGTTTGACATACAGTGGAAGGTAAGATAGAGGAGCTTGCTCTTTTAACAGTAACAAATACATTTAGCGCCATTTTGAATCTAGCCACACCCACCACGTGGTACTGCGCATGCGCATTAGAAAATTTAAATTTATTTTGATTTTCCAAAAATTGGAGTCGGTCGGATCCGTAAACCAAGTAATTTTATTGGAACTGCCTAACCCTAAACATAATAGCCAAACTGAAAGTAGTATGAAGTACCATTATATACATACAATAAAATTAATCACAGTGAAAGTTACATCAAATTAACGAACAGTAAACAATTGATATTGTAAGTGTCATGAACACATCTATTGTTTATGCAATTGCCTGGGGAGCAATCTATGAAAAAGCCAACCATGCAGTGAAAATATTTAAAGGCTGTAAATTTCCCAGATTTCAATGGGAACTTGATATTTATAATTATTTTTGCATTTTCAAGAATCAAGAGTATCATGTTAATATAATAGCAACAATACAAATTATTAATGACATTAAAAACAATAATCGCCAATAACAAGAGATAGAACACATACACTTAGATGTAGAAAAAGAGAATTATTATTATGTTAAAAATAAGTCAATATAGTTTACAAGAAAAAGTCAATAAAAGTGTAGTGGGTTGATCCCAGAGCCATTTTCAGTATGAAGACCTCTCCACTTGGCTCTGGATCCTCTTAGACATAGGTTGGTAGCTCTAATAAGGGCAAACGATAGTCTAGCTCTAATCCAGTTAAGTGTGGTTGAATACTGGAGATCCCACTTGATTGCCATCTACCCGCCATAAAGTGTCTCATCTTGTTACCTACAAGTCCATTGATGGCTATGCATAAGGGAGTAGAACTGTAAACATAGTAAAGGAACCAAAAGTAACATAGTAAACATAGTAAAGGAAAAATTCCTCTCTGACTAATAAAGAATATTCGTTGTTTTCTCTACTATTTAATGTATATATTTCTTCCAAGATTCCTTCTCCTCTTTCCCTCTCTCTTTGTTAAAAAATATATAACCTTTTTGAGTGCTTCCTTCTTTCCTTCAACTGGTGATAAACACTCTCTTAACTTTTTAGTGTTTAGTACAACTGTCAGCAATTAACTCACATTCATGATGTCTGTGGTTACAAACAGAGCAGTGGGAACAAATTACTGCATCACATTTGAGAATTTGGGGTCTTTTTCATTAAACTATGCATATCTTTGAGGCTGTTGATAGTGAATGCCACAGGAAAAGCTCCTGCTCCTTCTTCTGGTAAGTAAACTCGGTACGATGATGACAAGTGTAAAAAAAGGTAAAGGGTTTCATCCTTTTTATCCAAAGGTAATTTATCCAGACAGTGCTGACAGAATACTGAGCTAAATGTAGAAAAGGTAAGTCTTGTAGGGTTGATATCAGGTCAAGACACACAGGACATGCAGGTGCATGAGCTGTTCCTAGACCAGTTTGAGACCGGCTGCCATGATAAGAGTGTCTGCAGATAGATAGATGAAGAAAGATAAATGTAGTAAGACAATAAGAAGCAAAGAACAGAAAGGAAGAGCAAGCCGCAAGCTGTAAGGGATTTAGAAAGAATTTAAAAATCAATATTTCTGTCACAGTCCTGTAATGAAATTAAAGCAAGTTATAGTTAATACAAAGACATTCAAGACATAAGTTACATAAAGCACATACAAAGGACTTGCCACTTAAAATATGGACAAGCTTATGTTTTGTCAAAATAATAAAAAATATCATGTGAAAAAAATTCTAAAAAATTACTGTCATTTTGTATAATGCATGGTAGCAAAAATAAATTTGTTGTTCCTTCACTAGCAGGAGGATGGACAGCATTCTATTGTGAACACAAAGAGGTTACCATTAATTAGCTTATGCATATGTACATACCTAGTTTTTTAAGGACAACATTTCCTATCTTTTTCATTGCTGCACCTTGCTTAATTAAAATACGACACACATCAGTTAAATACTGTCTTTCATCAAGAGAAGCTTCTAACTGACCCATCACATCAGTCATTACTCTATCAGCTTTATCAGTAGTAGATACACCAACTGTTGTCATTATATAGTTTATAGTCCCTTTTGGGATTAGGTCATCAGAAAGCAATGCTTTAGTGACATCACTAACATTTGCAGAAATTGCCTTGGTTAGCTTAGCTGAATATTTCTGCAGTATCTCCATTGGATCTATATAGTTCAAACAAAAAAATAATTAACACTGTCATAATAGCAGTGCTGAAAAGGTTGTATTGTCCACTGTTAATATGAACAGACAAAAAAACTAGAAACAATATGTCAAAAATTGCAAGCATCACTAATTAACTTTGATTTTACTATCAGCATTGCATGTATACCATATAGCACTTTAATTTGGTGGTGTTTTATTGTGGCAATTGGCAGTTTGCAAGTGGAATCGCTAATATTAAAACTGCCAATCATTAATGCGCATGTTCAGTAATCCACATGTGTACATAAAAATTACCTAATTAAAAAACACCAATTACCATGTTTACAGCAAAATCGCCAAAATAAAATTGTACATGGTATGAATGAATGTCAGGTAAGTGTGAATGTATTCAATCAAGACAATTTTAACAATTAACAATATACCTTTGACTTCTTGCAATTGCAGAGAGCCAGAGCTCCCTGTCTCAGATACACTTTTTTCTATAGTACCTTTATAATTAATACATTAAAAGTAGTATAAATGAATATATATAATTTACTTAGTATCATAGGAGAAATTAACTCATCATTAGAAATAGGAGTGTTTGGTATACCAGCTGTAAAAAATAAAATAGCAAGTCATTCACAATAATAAGAACAATAATAATTAATGATGTTAATGACAGTAATGATAGTAATATTAATAATAATAATAATAACAATAATAATAATAATAATAATAGGATTTGTCATCAAAATCATTATTATTTTTTGTCACCAGTCAATTTGACTTTTGGAAAAGAATTATTACAATTAAAAAAAATATTATCATTATTATTATTATCATCATTACCATATAGCGCTTCAATTTGGAGAGTTTTATTTTGGCAATTAGCAATTTGCAAGCAGAATCACCAATATTAAAGTGCATGCTCAGTAATGCACGTTTACACCAAAAATCGTCAAATTAAAAATTGCCAATTACAATTTTACAGCAAAATCGCCAAAATAAAGTGCTATGCAATATTATTATTATTATTATTATTATTATTATTATTATTATTATTGTTGTTGTGGTTGTTTTATAAAACTTACCATCAAGCCAGGAGCTCCATAACTCTTTTTTATCTTCACATTTAGTATGTGGGTTGTCACTACATCGAAAAATATGCTCCTTATTGACAGTCTCAACTTCAACTGTGTGCTTCTTCTCCTTCAACACAGCTCCTATATTACTAGCAGCACCATCACCACTTCGATCAGAACCAGCACTTCCAGGGCCACGCTTACATGGACAATAAAATCGGATCTCATGGCTTGCACTAAGATTGTGCTTTTCAGCTGCAGAAGTGATCGCTTTTTCAACATTTTCCCTTACTATGTCTTGACCTCTCTCTTCCTCACAATGGACTTCAATACAATTGATCTGTTCAATTAGAACAACGAAAAATGATGCAACTCCTTCTGTATGATATTTCAACTCCATACAATTTGAGAAATTACTATCTGTCGAAGCAATTTTGTAGCTAAAGTTTGAAAGGAGATGAGTAATCACAGAACAGAAAAGGCCCATTGGAGTGGCCTTCTTGAAGTAAAACAGTAATGGCTCACGATTTTTATAAGGATTGATATCTGTAACATCTCTTACAGGAAGAAGAGCTGGTATAAAATACTTATCTTTTATGAGTGTAGCTATTGAAAGCTCCAGAAAAAGCTTCAGCAATTTCGTTGCAATATTATCAACTTGTAGCTCTTTTTCAATGCAATCAAGTTGATTTTTACAAATCTGTTTAAACTTGGACTCTGAAAGCATTCCCTCTATAACATCCTCATCTCCAGCGTATACTCTTTTATTGGAGTGAATAATATGAACATGCCCGACCAACTCCTTGAGAATACCAATGAGACTACCTATGTTAACGAACACCAGATCACTGCAGGCTTCAGAATTTCCATAATAAATGATACTATTGATATGGTGCAAAAAATTAAGAGACTCCAGCACTTCATCTTCTGAAAGTTTTAAATCTTCCCCAAGACTAATGCAGGTGGATAATTGCAAAACACCACATCCCTCTTTTATTGCTGCAACGCGAAGTACAATATCAAAGAAGTAATAATAAAATGGAATGTTGATTCCTTTATCATCTTTCATTAAGATCTCATCTATGTCATCCAAAGAACTCTTCGTGCTCTTACAATTTTCATTGTTTCCTCTTTCTTCAACAGCTACATTAGCGATACGACCATCAACTTCATGTACATGCACTACATGATGATCTTCAATTGACTCACAATCATCATTTCCTTTAATTATTTCTGCCAATTTTTCTGCCAATATGCGTTTAGACTGTGCTACATCACTGCATTCATCTCCATGTGTACCAATTGTGAGAATCTGCAATTTCTCTGGAACCAAATCTCGTAGAACTTCATGATCTTTATAGCTTTCCCTGAAATGCTGCATGCCAGAAGCTATTGAAGAAACAATCTGCTTCAAAACTTCTTCAACTGTCAATCTGTATGGACTGCCATCATTGTGATCTTCCCCTTCACAGTGCATCACTGCAGTAGATTCGCAACAAAGCTCCTTTGATAATTTAACAACAAGAATAAGAACTTGGGAAAACGGCATAAAAATTGGAAGCAACTTCTGAAAAGCAATTTGACCTCCTGTATCAATGAGGTATAGCCATTGCGCACCTTCTAAACAATTTTCCTCACCTGAACATTGGTTTACTTCTTTAAGTACTTTCTCTACTGCTTTACTCAGCAAGCTTTTGTTTCCATCTCCAGGTGCTTCATTTCCATTACTAGACGCTTTGTCTCCATCTCCAGGTGTTTCTTCCTCATTGCTAGATCCATCAATGGCTTCATTTCCTTCAACAAAGCCATCGTCACCATTGTCAACTGTTTCGCTCCCTAAATCAGATGATTCACTTCCAGCAAGCGAGGTTTTCTTTCTATCGATGCATTCACTGACTTGATTTTCTGCTGAAGAACTGATTGATCTTTCTAATGCATCTTTTTTCAAAGCATTTTTAACTAATCCTTCTAACTCTGTGACATTCAATAGCTTGTATCGTTGCCCAGTATCTCGTCTATAGCAGTAGATACCAACTCTTGGCTCAGCAATGCCAGTACTCACTTTGAAGTACTTCTCATCCAGTAGAAGTGATTTAAAAGAGGTTTTACCAACACGAGCTTCACCTTGAACAACTACTTTAGTGAGATGACATGTAATGAATGTTTTAAGTGCTTCGCGATAGTGACATAACTCTACAGACAAAAGTATTTAAAATTAAAAAAATCAATTATTTTATAATAAAATAACACATTGTACACGTACATACTCAGCAAAATAATCGTTATTATTGAGTCTTAATTTCACTTCAAAAAATTTTACACATTAATATCAAAAATTTATATTGTTAACACCTTATTTTTAATCTATTCATAACATTTCAAATCCTTAAAAATTTTGCGGTATAGACCCCTTTAAGCGAGAAGTAACAGCTTGTGAATATCATTAATTTTGCAGTAAATATTAGTCAGTTACGGTATCCACTCACATATAACAAGTACATAAAAATCATCAAAAATAAAAAAGTAGTAGGATTGATTTGGGAAAAAGTAAAGAAACTAGAGGATACTTGCAAAATTGTATGGTAAAATATCCTACACCGCTGCATGAAGATAAAGGCTTCATAGTGCTATCATGTAGCAGTCTGTATGGACAATGATAATTCTTCATGCAGAGGTATAGGACTTTTTTACCATACCAGTTTGCAAGTACCCTCTAGTTTCTTTGCTTTATTCTCAATTAAATCCTACTACTTTTCCATTTTAATGTTCTTGCTTCCAAACTTTTTTCTTAAATTAATAAATTACATTCTGTTATGATTTTGTGGTCAGATAATCATTTTATGTGAGCATAAATTAAAATGGCATTAAACCGCAAACCCACACTGCCACGTGATGTCTGCAGCTGAATTTTGTCTTCCACTTTGTTCTCTGTCCTTGCTTCTTTTTGAAACTACTCAAGGCTTTGTGGTCCTTAACCCAAGCACAAAGGAATGATGTAAAAGCCAACTAGAATGGTTCTCTAGTTAAAAGATTATCCCATGAATAGAAGAAAGATAAAATTAGAAGAAAACTGAGGTACATATATGACTGAAGAACTTTGCAAAAATTGAATTTGGGCCTATTCTCTAGAAAAGCTCCCATTATATACATTACAGTCCCCTTTAAAGGTACCAGGAGAATTGCTCAGTAAAGAACTCATCTAAGCCATTTATAAGGCTGCATGAATTACAAGTATGATGAGAGTCACGTGATTAACGAGTTGCAGGATTAAGCAACCTGCAAAGCACTGTAAAATAACTGCAAAGAGGAGCTGATACTGTGTATAAACAGTTGTGGTTATAAAAATGATGATCTTACTTGAAATAATAACAAAACACACCTTTTGGGTGTGCTTTCGATTAGGGCTTGGAGCTGCCTATGATGATGATCTCAGCCATTCCATTTTGAAGCTGAACACTATTCTAGAGTCAAGAAAAGATGTCAATAAAGCCCACTTAGGAAATATAGTGCAATATAGTCTGGCCCCGCCTCTTTTTTGCGCGGGGGGGGGGGGGGTGGCGCAGAAGAGTCTGGTGACACTGCTACAGAATTTGTTGCAGAAAGGAATGCAATAATTAGTAGTTATTAAAACATTTTGCAAGGGTCAGGCCACACCTGACTAGGTTTGTCAGTCATACTTGCAGCCATTTTGAATAGGTCACGTGACAAAGTTACTTCCACGTGAGTGCTGCAATCTGATTGGGACGCTCAATCCTGTGCTTAGTGCTACAAATTCTGGGGCGTTACTAGAATGCGGATCAGTGCGGATTGCTGCGGATCGTTCCGCACGCGGAACCAAGCACGTGAACGTGCAGAATGTGCACGGACGTGTGCCTAGAATGCGGATCAACTCCCAAGAATTCAGAATATACACCATGATAACTTCCCGCGGATCAGTCCTCTTGTTCTTCTATTCCACTCAATCTTTATTTGTTGCAATGTTTAACTCTTTATAAAGTAAAAATAACTATTTTTAACTGTAATAATTTTAAACTTTGAATGTACGAGATTTCAGTGATGATATCAAAAGCCTTCAGTCATAGGTCATAGAATAAATTATACTGCATCTAGATCTAGTTGCAATGAAATGAGTTACAATCTGCATTGAAAACAAACATATACAGGCCCGTAGCCAGGGGGGGTTCGGGGGGTTCGGACGAACCCCCTGTTGTAGCTGCAAAAAAAATTAGATTAGCTCCTGTCATGAAGAACAGCACTGCAAAAGCAGGATTAGCATTTTGGCAACAGCGAGAAGCACAGATAGCCATTTTAGCTGAGTCAGCACATGGCTGAGATGCGTAAATCGAGACCACGCCTACTAACCACGCCCATTTTCATCAAAATTTTTTTTGCTGCGCGCTTCACGCGCAGCAATTTCCAAACCCCCTATTTCAAGTTCCTGGCTACGGCCCTGATATAGTTGTAAAATTTAAACAATGAAAGTTGTCTCACAAATAACAATTATTTTCATTGTGTAAAAATGATTATTATGATATTACCAAAAATATAAAATATTCTATTGGCCAAAAATTGCTACCACCTAGCTATATCATTTTTCCTCACAAAGATATTTTCATTTGCATTGGGATGCATGTACAAATATAGTTTTAAAAATGAGGTCTTTCAAGTTGTGGATTGCTGCATGCTTCATATCAAGAGTACTGTATCTTGCTTAATTGCTTCATAGCTATGTCAGTAGTAAATCCGAAATTTTGTCAGAATAGATACAACTCAGTTTAACAAGAGTACATAATACTCTTGGTTAATAAATGATGGAGTTAGCGTTTTTTTAGTCTGAATATTATTCAGTGATTCTAGTTGCAGTACTAAAAATATTAATCAATTATTATAGATGTATTTTTTTGACTAATACTTAAACTAGTTTTTAAAAATTTTACATTACTATCTTTATTGCTTGCTTTTTAAAATATCTACAGGATTAGAGGGAAGTTATAATAATTTTAAGCTTGATATATGTAGGAAACATGACTCTGAAAGTAAGTCAAATAAAAATATCTTGTGCTCTGCATTAATTAGCAACTAGAGTTGGGTCAACTTGAATTTTGTTAGCTGCTTTTCATACTGTTAATTGATAATTGCTAGAACTGAATTATCTTAGTTCCTTGAGCAACTTTTAAGAGATAATGATATCAGCCACTGATGTAAAGATTTGCTATCAGTCTAAGTTGCTTATAAAAGCATTATAAACACTTACATTAAATATCTTAATGCAATCAGAGCAGTATTTGTAATCACGTAAAAGGAATACTTTCAAATAAAAATGATAGGTGGTAACAATTTTTGGCCAATAGAATATTTTATATTTTTGGTAATATCATAATAATCATTTTTACACAATGAAAATAATTGTTATTTGTGAGGCAACTTTCATTGTTTAAATTTTACAACTATATGTTTGTTTTCAATGCAGATTGTAACTCATTTCATTGCAACTAGATTCAGATGCAGTATAATTTATTCTATGACCAATGACTGAAGGCTTTTGATATCATCACTGAAATCTTGTACATTCAAAGTTTAAAATTATTACAGTTAAAAATAGTTATTTTTACTTTATAAAGAGTTAAACATTGCAACAAATAAAGATTGAGTGGAATAGAAGAACAAGAGGACTGATCCGCGGGAAGTTATCATGGTGTATATTCTGAATTCTTGGGAGTTGATCCGCATTCTAGGCACACGCCCGTGCACGTTCCGCGTGCTCACGTGCTTGGTTCCGTGTGCAGAACCGCCAGAACGATCCGCAGCAATCTGCACTGATCTGCATTCTAGTAATGCCCCAAATTCTGTAGCAGTGTCACGTCACCAGACTCTTCTGCGCCATCCTGGCCCCTGTGCAACAAAGAGGCGGGGCCAGACTAAGTGCAATACTTTTGTAGTGTCAAGAGGTTTCAAGTCTCCAAAATATCTAGCTATCAAGAAAAACAGTTGTTATGAAGCCTCTCATTGACTGAGTTCAGCACAACAAAACATATTTTTGGTAAAACAGCTGTACTTTGAACATCAGCCATTGCTGGAACTCTGCATTAGTTTGACATAAAACCAGCAGGCAGATGAAAACCAGTTTGATATTATTTTTTGTATATAGAATAGACATGTGGTATTGCAAACTAATTATTGCTTAAATAGGTCATATGGCAATCATCACTAGTTTATTAGTGTAATACTCACTAGTCATTAATTGCTGATAAAATTTTTGTAACGTATATGTTCAATAACATGTGGCAGCTAAAAATGTTCCACCAAATGCAAATTAATAAATTTTTAATGCAAGTAAAAAATACATGCTGTATTTCTTAAGTGATAAATATATAATACCTGGGTTATCAACAATATCTTCATTTTTTCCTATAAATAAAAGTAAAAAGGAACTTCATATAAGATACATGTAATACGTATAATTCTTATTATCAAACCTTGTGTCATGTAAAAATAATAATAACAATAGCTTACTGATATAATCAGCTGCTGCTTTCTCATCAATTTTCTCAAGAGCATCATATAGAGAGGCCATTGTTGGACGTCCAGTAGCATTAACACCATCAACTTCCTTTAACCATTTCCATAGACACTGCTCAAGACATTCTTGTACATCTCTGAGATACTCAGCCTCAATTGTCTTCAGTGTAGGATGATATAATCCTAAAGCAAGACCAAGAGGTTTCCATTTCATCTGTGAGAAGCCAGCTTTATGCAATAAGTCAAGTATATAATCTAAATCTCTCATGCCTAGGACAGGACCTATGGAGTAATAGAACATTCATTAATCAATTAATTGATTAAAATAAACTAAAGTATATGATTCACATGGTAAATGTGTCAATGGCTAATTGCAACACTTAGAAGTTAATTGTACAATGGATGCACATACACAGAAGGCTGTATATCAGCACCAATAGTCTAGTATACATAGAAATATTAGCATCACGAGTGCATTAATGGGTGTGGTTATTAATACTAGACCACACCCACTTTGATCTATCTTACCTTTCAGTGACCTTTCAATTATCAATGTAACAGGATCAGTTGCTCCTTCCACTGGTATAGTATAACGTAGTATAGGAACAGCATTAGATGAAGCACGAACTGATACACGGCAGGAGGGAGGATGAGAATTCCAAGGTTTACCAAACTTGTCGACATCATTTCTATATATCTATAGAGGATATGCGTACTAAGTATATTCGTAACTTTTAAGTACCGTATATCTAACCCACACAGTAAATTGGCTGCCGTGTTGGTCGAATGTCAAGTTTATTAAGAGTGCAATGGGGAAAACACATCTTCTTGCTTTACTACGTTCTTGAGGCCTTTTCAGAAGCTTAGAAAGCATCCTGAGGATTTAATGGGGTCTAGCAGTCGAAGAATCGCTATCAAGAAATATAGAGTGGTTTTCTGGAACAAAAGCTTTTTTCTATCATTTCTTCATTGCTGCCAATGGAAAACTGACGCCCGACAAATTAATTTTTTCTTGAAAGTTATTACAGTATGCAATGGATACATTTATTTTGCAATGAATATACTTAGAATGCATATCCTCTATTGATACATACACACATACATAAATCGTATACATGCTTGTGGCTATAATTGAGTACCAATTGGCTGATTATTAAAATCATCATAATAGTGAAAAATATCAATTTCTGTGTGTTTTGTTAGAAAAGCATTGTTTGCAAAAATTACATAGTAACTATTTGCATGGTGTATAAAAATACTTCGCTATAAATGGAGCATGGCAAGTTGGATTTTTCACTATAAAGACAAACTTAATTAGCCATCATAAGGTACCTTTTGTCAATTACAGTCACACTTAATACATGTACTTACTATACAAGGTTCTGTGAGAGGTACAATACTCCATCCAGTGGTTGGTTCGTCTTGTTGAGTATCAAACTTTAATTCAATAAAATCACCTCTTAATGTCAGTGCAGAGTCTTGCTGGACAAAATTAAAGTTGATACGTTGACATATCTTAGCACGAGGATGCTTCCTTTCAATATACTGTCAATAAAACACATTAATACACATCATGTACACAATATACCTATTATAATAATACCGAGAATAATACTTACATCAAAGAGTGTGTCATCATCTTTAGTTACAGCAAATATTGCTACATATTCATTTAAACCTTTCTCCTCATAAAATAGCCATCCAATACATTCAGTATCACTTCCTAATGTAAAGTGAATCAAACATTAACACTTCATTATCATGTTGTAACACAAGAGCTAACCTGATCCACCAGTGGCCATCTTGACAGTTCATTCCAAAAACCAAGTCTAGTCTAGCCGGTTCAACTCTGACTCCCACACAAGTTGCACAACCAAGCTAGACTATACATGCCTAGATGCATGAATATCTAATAGATCTATTATAGTAGCTAAATTAATGATTATTAACATTAACGATTAGAAGCCTAAGAAGGGAACTATGGAGGATGGCTCGAGGAGATTGCTTGCAGGAGGCTGAAAGCCTGAAACATCACTGAAGTCACGTCAAAGAAAGGTAGATCTATTGTCGTTGAAATCACGAAGTGGAAGGAGTACTGGTTAGCAGTAGGCTTACATGTATAATCATTAAAATTTAATTCATTAGCATGCCTTGGGTCAATTACTGAATATAATCTAGGCAGTGGCTATTTTTACGGGCCCGTAATCCGACCGTGGGTGGCTATTTTTACGGCAGGATGATTTATCTATGGATTTACTCATTTTAAAACCTGGGAAACACTCTAAAATAAAAAAACTAAACCCTAAACCAACCTTGGGGACTCCTAACATACTAGGGGGCTCATAAAATGACTGGGGACGCTCTAAAAAAAAAAACCGCCACTCTAACCCCTAAACCCTAAAAACAATAGCTAAGTAGGGGACTCCTAACATAACTAGGGCTCCTAACATAACTAGGGCTCCTAACATAATTAGGGAACATAGCGAAGTAGAAAGATAAAAAAATCAATTTGTTAAAGTCAAAATTATAAAAAAGAAAAAAAAGAATGGTCTGAGCTGAATTCGAACCAGCACCCGTCCATATCCAACCCAGCGCCTTCCCCACTGTGCCACCACATTCCTGCTGCCTTAGTGATGCTGATTGTCATCTTTATACGTCACTTCATTTCTATATTCCCTGCCGTAAAAATAGCTGTATACAATGAGATTACGGGACCGTAAAAATAGCCAGTACGTATAATTTAATTCATTAGCATGCCTTGGGTCAATTACTGGATATAATCCATTACCATTAGTCGAGCTATTAGTATTTATGGTTGCTGCAAGTTGCAGCCAGCCTTTAACTGTTCATTTTGATATTGTTCCTTAGCTCTTGTCCATATTACGTTTTTACAGTTGAAATTATAATAGTAATAATAATAATAATTATTATTATTATTATTGCAGGAAAGCATTACTGTTACAATTACAATAAGTCATAATTATTAACTAAAAAATAAGGTTGTAATTTAAGTCATTTTAAGGTGTCCATGCATTGCATTTTATTGCCGGCATGAAGTTTTAGAAAGCTAGCATCTGTCATTGGGTACAGGATGAAAAGCCTCTGCATTGATTAGTTGTTTCCAGCTATACTTGCTGCTGTTACTCATAACATATCATTGTACATGTAATAGCAGTCTACGTTGTATTATGAGAATTACATTATCTGAATTATATACTTCCTGATGTTCACAAAAGCTCTATTGCTATTACTATTATGCTACGTACATTACTTGGTACCCTATAATCATTACTATTACCTCAGGGTGTAGTGTCTATACACCATATGGTTTTGTGTCTGTGTGCATAAGATTTGCAGGCAGTCATCAATCATGTAGTCTAAGCTAACTTGCTATGTGGTATTATATTAATCCTTACATGCATGCAATATTAAATACCAGCATGATATCCCATTTTCATGTCATAATAATTGTCTTCATCAAAGCTGTTACTGTAACAATGACAATCATCTTTCTAGCCTAGTAATCCAATATAGTACATGTAAGTTAGGCTGATTTAATAGTGGTACTGTTTACATCGCATGTTTACTAAGAGTTATGATGTTTAATTAAATGTACCACTCACATGTATAGTAATAAATGAGATTGATCTGATCTATTAGCTGCAATATTACTAATGACTATAACTGAATATTATGATAGTTCTGTACTAAATACTGATATATTGCTGACCCTTATTTGTACTGCATTTCTCTATTGTCATTTTTGTGTTCCTTGACTCCTATTCTTGTATATCTTTGTTTTGTATTGATGTTTCTTATTTCTTTTGTCTTTCTCTCCTCCTTGTACATATACTGTACATATGCATCTAACTTTTGCTCTTTCTCTTTTCTCCCTAAATAGGATTGTCTTATAACTCATGTTCTTCGTCTTCTCTCTTTCTTGTGTTAACGTTCATTCTAATTGGCCAAGTAAAATGTACATGCAATGTGTCTGTTTCATGGAACAACAGAGTATGGTTTATTATTTTATAACAATAGTTGTATTATTCATTGTGTTCATAAGCAGCACGTGACACGTACATGTAGTGTATGCGTTAAATATTGTTAGATAATTGCTGAAGTCATTCTTCATTCTGTATTGCTATTTGCTAATCTCATATCTAATATGTGTAGACTCTTTTGCAGTGTCCAGTTGCTACTGTGGACTTTAATTAGTGTTTGTTTATTATTGGAATGTGTAGGTTGTGGTCCTGTTCATCTCTATAACCAATAAAGAAATGTTAGTAGTGCTATATTTGGTGAGTTGTCTCTCCTTATCATGTGGGGTGTATTAATCCTTCTGTTCTATGATATAGTCCCTGAACTAGTATACTATCATTATGAACATTTTCTGGACTATGATATCATTATGCTTTATAGAAAGG